GTTACGTTATCAACCTGCAAGTATAGTTTCGAAGGGCCCCACTTTTGGTCAAGGGCAATAGAACAGAAATAGAGAGGGATTACTGGTAAAAAAATAGTTAATGGAATAGCCATTTTTGATTTATTAGCCGTCATTGGGTAGCCATACTTAAACCACAATTTGTGATCTCTAAGACACGAAACCACATTCTGTTGGTTACAAATATAACGCTCTCCGTACACTAGCTAGACTTCCTGTCAGTTGCAATCGGGCAATTAACTATTTTAAAGGGGCGCTCATCGATCGCGTTACATGACGTAGTCTCGTTTTGCCTTGTGACTCCACGTAGAGCCGCACAAATAATAACCATTATTGTTACAGACAGAAATAGGCCTCCTGGTCTGCCTTGCCTTCGTCGATAACAGCTCTCACTAATAAGATCATGAATCTACATAAGATCATGAAGTGCATAAGCGTAGAAGGGCTTCGTAAGAGTTTTTTAGACAACCATAGTTGAAATTAGTTACTTTTCGCGCCGTCACCATGGAAGCAGTATATTTGCCGCACCTCTGTGTTGGCCAATGCATATACTGCATACTCTATTTTCCCGTCCACAAGGACGATGATCAATTTCACGGGTGAAGGCAGTTGGTAAGAGTAAATCGAATCTTTTGATTTTGGTACCCTCAGTGGGCGCGCAACAATAGACCGACCTGCTTATATTCATTTTGTTCTGCTGGTTTGGCGGAAGTGTGTCACAGTTTATTAGAACGTATACATTCAACGCATTCGTAACATGGCTACTCCAATGTAATTAAATCATTGTTACCTTCATTTCAGGATCGTAGCGCAGTTCCATGTCCTCGACCATTTTGGGAGGAACTTTGTTGTAACGTAGTACTGCAGGAGGCTCTTGGTCCTTCCACCTCTGCTGCACAACCAATGTTCCACCAGTTGCAGCAGCTTTTGCATGCCAAGCCCCAAAAAGAGTTTTCTTGGGTTCCGAAAGACCGGCAGTAGCGTCAGCTAGGTCAAAAATTATAGGTGGATGGCTAAGTTTGCTAACAGGTGGGAATACTTTAGGCGTAGTTTTGTTGTGACGTGAGGGCGCCGAAGTCGTGGATGCCTCCTTAGGTGGAGGTGATGGAATTTTGGTGGAAGTGGAAATCGCCGTATTCTTTGAATTACCCAACTCAACGCGGGAGACCGTAGGAGATGATTGAGTTACTGATGAGGTCGTTATGCTAGAAACTTTGGCCAGTGGCAGATCCATTAGATGAGGCGCCATTGTGGGCGGTGTAAGGCCGACTGGGAAGGCATAATTGTGATCCTAGAGTTGTAACCACGTTAGTCAATAAGAACACTACATTATAAGGGAGTCCGAATGAACAGATAGTTGGGCCGAATGATACTCCAGAATCTGGATAGAACGCATCGAAGTCTTCATCACTGCAATAGGAAAGAAAAACTGTGGAAAAGTCAATGCAATTCGTTTGACAGTACAGAAATGAAACTTTGTGGCAACGGTTTTTTTTTTCTTCAAAAACTGTTTAAAAACGGTTAGACATCTTTGGTGAGAAAGATAGTTGATTCCAGCAACCTTCAACGGGAAATTTTTTTCAAAATGAAGTTCTCAAAAACTCATTGTAGCCCCAAAACGCTCTAAAAAATTGGATTCCCTTCAACTCCCTAGGTTTCTTTTAC